GGAGGAGGAGGAGGAGGAGGAGAGAGCACCAGGAGGAGGAGGACGAGCAAGACGAGGAGGACGAGAACGAGGACGAGCAGGAGGAGAGGAGGAGGAGGAGGAGGAGGAGGAGGAGGAGCAGGAGAAGAGAGGAGGAGGAGGAGGCAGGCTGAGGCTGAGGCTGTGACTGCGACTGCCGTTGCCGCTGCGACTGTCATCGCGAATGCTACTACGACTGCGAGAACAGCAGAATTCGACAACTGGATTTTCGTCTGAATCTTAAGGGGAATGCTTTCAGATATGCTTCTACACATCGCTGTTAGGTTGCTTTGCCGGGATAATTATGTTTTTATGTTAAAATCGCTTCGAAAACTAAGGTTTTGGAAGGATTTCGTCTTGCGCGCGCGAATGTCCACTTTACCTTATTTTTTGCAAGGGATTCTTGAAGTTTGGTTATGTTAGAACAAGAAATGTCCACTTTAGCTTATTTTTTGCAAGGGAAAACCGATCGTAACAACACAACCGGATCCGGACCAACCCGTTTTGCCTGAGACTTCCTCACGAAAATGACGAAAATGAGGCTGCGGCCTAGGCGCGGCGGGGGGGTCGTGCACCAGGGGCCCCAACAATAATTATTCTTTAGAAGTAATAATGTTCAACAATCGTCCCCATACCATGTTTTGACTTTTTTCCACATTCCTCCTGTCGAGGGACAGGCCCGACTGAACCCTGAGCCTGCCGCTGCCCCGGGCCGGGGGGCGCCATCCCCGACACCAGCCCCAAGCCGACCCTCGTCGCGGACACTCGCCGCGCGCCGACGGCACTCCCGCAGCGCGGCGCGGTGCGCCGACCGAGGCGAGGCCGACTCTTCCTCGGGGGGGGCTACGCTGATCAAACAGTCCAAGATACGGAGGCGCCGACATGAAAAACGGGGAGGCTCCAGGATTATCCGCCGCCGTGCCTCTGGTCCGAAGCGGCGTGCACCAAGGCCCATGCAGCCCTGAGAGGTAAAGTGTCTGCACTCGCCATCGCTCGGACGTCCATTCCATGTGTTGTTTTCCCAATTATCCTGTGGTGTTGGGTCCTCGTTTGGAAAAGACGGTGGCCCGCGTCTCCTCTCCTCCTCTCCTCCTCCCCCTCCTCCTTGCGTTTCACCCACCCAGCACAGCGTTTCGTAGCCCCATAGGGAGCTCCACCGAAGGCCCCACTGGCAGGGTTCGCATGGCGGCCTCGGGCCATTTCGGCACCCCTCACGAGGATCGTGGCCCCATAGGGAGCTCCACCGAAGGCTCCAATGGCAGGGTTCGCATGGCGGCCTCGGGCCATTTCGGCACACCCCTCACGAGGATCGTGGCCCCATAGGGAGCTCCACCGAAGGCGCCAGTGGCAAGGTTCGCATGGCGGCCTCGGGCCATGTCGGCACACCCCTCACGACGATCGTAGACTCAGAAGGGAGCTCCACCGAAGGCGCCAGTGGCAGGGTTCGCATGGCGGCCTCTCGGGGGATCGTTCGGCACACACCCCTCACGAGGATCGTGGCCCCATAGGGAGCTCCACCGAAGGCGCCAGTGGCAGGGTTCGCATGGCGGCCTCGGGCCATGTCGGCACACCCCTCACGACGATCGTGGACCCATAGGGAGCTCCACCGAAGGCGCCAGTGGCAGGGTTCGCATGGCGGCCTCGGGCCATTTCGGCACACCCCTCACGAGGATCGTGGCCCCATAGGGAGCTCCACCGAAGGCGCCAGTGGCAGGGTTCGCATGGCGGCCTCGGGCCATTTCGGCACACCCCTCACGAGGATCGTGGCCCCATAGGGAGCTCCACCGAAGGCCCCAAGTGGCAGGGTTCGCATGGCGGCCTCGGGCCATTTCGGCACACCCCTCACGAGGATCGTGGCCCCATAGGGAGCTCCACCGAAGGCCCAGTGGCAGGGTTCGCATGGCGGCCTCGGGCCATTTCGGCACACCCCTCACGAGGACCGTGGCCCCATAGGGAGCTCCACCGAAGGCGCCAGCGGCAGGGTTCGCATGGCGGCCTCGGGCCATTTCGGCACACCCCCCACGAGGATCGTGGCCCCATAGGGAGCTCCACCGAAGGCCCCAGTGGCAGGGTTCGCATGGCGGCCTCGGGCCATTTCGGCACACCCCTCACGAGGACCGTGGCCCCACTGGAGCTCCACCGAAGGCGCCAGTGGCAGGGTTCGCATGGCGGCCCCAAGCCATTTCGGCACACCCTCAACGAGGATCGTGGCCCCATAGTTGTGCTGCTTCAACAACCGCGCCTGGGCGTCGTACTCCGCCTTGTCGACGTGCAACGCCACCTCCTCCCTCATGGCTCTCAAGGCCCTTTCCTGCTTCTGCTCCTCGGTGAGAGGGACGCCGTCCTTGTCGTCGTCGGCGCCCGCGAAGACGGCCACGAACGTGTCCCTGAGCATGTCGGGTTCCGGCGGGAAGCCGTGGCCACATAGGGAGCGCGGGCGAAGATGGTATTCACAATTGCGGTATTCACAACTGCATATGGTTGGGTCCTTCGCCAGGATAATCTCGGTTTCGTGCGTGGTTCTTTCGCTAAATGATCAAGGATGCTCCTCGATGGCCCTCGCCGAAAGAAAAATGCACACGTCCGAGCGATGCCAAGTGCAAGATTCTTAAGGGCCCAGACCCCTGGATTCCTGGTTGCCTGGGCGATCCCAGGCGCTGGTGGGCGCGACCAGGGCGTTCCCCGTGGGCCTCTGGAACGGTCCCCTCGCTCAGGAGCGCCCGGGAAGCGGGCCAAGAAAGCCCCGGGAGGCCGCCCAGACGGCCCAGGAGGGCACAGAATCGACGACAGATCGATCCAAAACGCCCAAGATGCCCTGCTGACGGTCCAACGGGCTTCGAAGACGCCACGAGGCCTCCCATGGCACTCCCAAGGGGGCCCCAAGAGGCACAAATAATTGATTCCCCATTGGTTTTAAAATATTTGGGCGTTCTCGCCTTTTCGGCTTCCCGACGCTCTAAGCAAGACGACCACAGAGGCCTCCGATGTCGCTCCAAGACAACTGAAGAGGCCTCCAAGAGGGCCCCAAACCGGCCCCAGAGGGCCCCAGACGGCCCAAGAGGCCTCAAAGACGGCCCGCTCCAAGAGGCCCCCAACAGCCCCAAGAGGTCTCCAAGAGGCTCCCAAGAGTCCCACCAGAGGCTCCCACGACGCCCCAACACTGCCCCCCAGCGGCCCAAGGCAGCGCTCCGAAGAGACCCCAAGAAGCATTCCTGAGGACTCTGACCTACAACCCAAGAACGCTAGCGGATGGGCCGAAGGCCATTAGATCCGCCGCCCGTTGGTTTGCCACAGGGTGCCCGGAGTGATGGACCCTTTCGGTTTTGGTTTTGGTTCTTTTCCATAAAAGAGCTCTCCCCTGGGGCTCCAGCACAGCCCGCCAGCCACCCGAAGGGACCATAAGAGGTGGTTGCAAAGGTTTTTCCTGCTCCAGACGGTTCCAAGATGGCCCAAAATGGCTTCCCAGACGGCTCCGATGGCCCGAGGTGGCTTGCAAGTTCGCCCAAGATGGTCCAAGATGGCCTCCACGACGGCCAGGAAGGGTCCAAGATGCCTCCAAGTCGAGCCAAGAAGCATCCAAGACGGCCCCAGAGGCCCCCAAAAGGCTTCCAAAACAGCCCAAGAGGCCTCCCGGAGGTCCTCCAGGAAGGCCCGAAGAGGCAAAAATCATTGGTCTTCCATAGGATTTTGAAGGATTTTCGTATTTACTCCTTTTCGGCCTTCCGACGGCCGAAGACGGCCCAAGAGGCCCCCAAGGTCGCCCCCAGAGCGCCCAAGAGGCCTCCTGGATGGCACCAGAACGGCCCAAGAGGCCCCCAAGACGGCCCCAAGAGGGCCCAAAGACGGCCCAAGGAAGCCTCCAAGACGGCCCTGGAGCACCCCAAGAAGGCCCCAACTCGGCCCAAAGAGGTCTCCAAGACGGCTTCTGACGGCGTCAGACGGGCCAGGAGCCCACCAAGACGGCCGAAGATGGCTCTAAGATGGCCCAAGACAGCCCAAGAGGCCTCCAAGAGGGCGACCAGGAAGGCCCGAAGATGCCAAAATCATTGATTTTCCTAAAAAAAATGTTGAAGGAGTTTCGTATGTGTGCCGTTTCGGCCCTCCGACGGCCCGAGACGGCCTAAGAGCCCCCAAAGATCGCCCCAAGATCGCCCAAGAGGCCCCCAGGATGGCACCAGAACGGCCCGAGAGGCCCCCAAGACGGCCCCAAGAGGGCCCAAAGAGGGCCCAAGAGAGGACTCTAAGACGCCCATGGAACCTCCAAGACGGCCCTGCAGCACCCCAAGAGAGCCCAAAGTAGGCCCAGAGAGGCACCCAAGACGGCTTCCGACGGCGTCAGACGGGCCAGGAGCCCACCAAGACGGCCATAGAGGCCCCCGAGAAGCCCCCAAAGGCCAACAAAAGACCCAAGGAGGGGCCCCAAAGATGCCCCCGAGGGGCTCCCAGGAAGCTCCCAAGAGACCCCAAGAGTGTCCCCAGAGGCTCCCAAGATGCTCCCTCATCTTCCTCCTCCACATCCTCCTCCGCCTCCTCCTGATCTTCCCCGCCATCCTCCCCCAAGTGTTCCCCGAAGGGTTTCCACAACGATTTGGGGAACACATGGTCTAATAGCTTGACAGAGTTCTTGCCACAACGCTCGGCCACATTGGCGATTCTAGAAGGCAGGGGGCGGCGGTGATTCGCCGCAGGCGTCTTCGACATCGAATACGTTGGGAACGAGAACGCCCCACATGGACGTTTTCCTGGAAGTCACTGGGTGCCCCTGCTGGCCCAATGCGTCTTCCACGCAAACATCCTTGTTTCTCCTCCAGCGGCAAGATGACGGCACCGTCGCGAGGCGCTAAGCCAGGACATGCTTAGGCGAGTTTGCACCTGCCCACACACACACACCTAAACACAAGCAAAATGCGACGCTCCACAAGAAGTCTCATACTGGAGCGAGCAACAGGCAGTTACGGCGGCTGGCCCGGAGGCGCCCGCGCCTCTGCGTCAGCGTCGCGAAAAGGTCGCCGCACTGCTCCTCGTACTGGAGCGGCAGCGGGGCTCTGTCGTGCACCTGGTCTCGCGCGGCCGCGGCCGCAGAAGCAACAAATCTGCAGCGTAAGAGCAGGAGAGAAAAGAGAGAGAAGGAGAGGGAGAGGCAGGAAGAAGGAGAGTGAAAGGCAGGGAGAAGGAGATGGAGAGGCAGAGGGAGAGAGGAGGAGAAGGAGAGGGAGGGAGGGAGGGAGGGAGGGAGGGAGCAGGAGGAGGAAGGGGAGGGGGGGAAAAGGGACGACGACGACGACGACGACGACGACGAAGACGACGACGACGACGACGACGACGACGACGACGACGACGACGACGACGACGACGACGACGACGACGACGACGGTGCTGGTGGGCACCGCCCTGCAGCGGCCGTGCGAGATGGGCTCCAGGAGCGTCGTCTGCACGTCGGACAGGCCGCTCGAGTCCGCGGAGGTGGTGCGGACCTCTCTGGGGGCGCGCCGATGGCCCCCGGGGGCCCCTCGCGCCTTGGAAGAGGTCCAGACGCGAGGCTTCTCTGCGAGGGTGGGGAGGGCCCTGACGCCGCGGGCGGGTGTTTCGGACGTCCTTCGTGGGTCCTCGTCGACTGCCTGGCCTCGGGAGGTCTTCCAGCAGCGGCGCCTCGCCGAGAGCGCAAATCGTCCCAAACGGCCGTGCTCTCGTGCAAAATTCACACTCTGAAAAAGCTGGCCTGAAGCAGGTGGGGGCAGGGGAGCGGCGGGGTGGGACATGTCGGGGCGGGGGTGCGCTGCGATCGCCATCGTACGCGCGCGAGTACCAGCCTGTGAGGGGGAATCCAGCACACACACCCCCCACGTACGATCGCTACCACAATTTAACCCGCGAGAGAGGGGGGGCGGGTATACAACCGTTACACGCCAAAAAACTACCTCGAGGAAGGATGCCGACGGCCTACACCCACAAAGTGATGATGCCAAACAAGCCCAGCAGTCCGATGAGGAGAACTCCGAACAGTACGCCGACGGCGAGTAACCCGACGAAGCAGTCGCTTGGCCTCTGATGGCTACAGCCCCAGGCCAAGTGGCTCTCCAAGTCAACGGTGCCTCTGGATGTTGCCATGGCTCGTCGGCGCTCCCTCCAGAAACCTCGGATCACACCTCCCAGCGAAAACCACATGAAAGAAGGGGGAACATCCGAAAACTTGCAACAACAAACATTGGGAGCGTATGATAACAACAGTCTCCTCCTCCTGCGAAATATGATTCCCTGACCGCTCAGGGAGCGCACTGTGAGCAACAATTCGAGGCGGATAGAGCCGTGGCGACGAGGGCAGCCCAGGAGGCCCTATAAATGCCGAAATCCTAATACAAGATACTAGCTCTACCTCCACCGTCTTATCCCTTGATCCCTCGTCAATTACCTATCTCCTCCACGTCGCAGACCCAGCGGTGTCGGCAAGGACGGCCCAGCGTGTCGCTTGAGACTTCCTCGCAAAACAGTGAAGCTTCGATGTCCTGAAAGCTACACGGACTGAGGTGCGGCCCTTTCCTGAATTTAGCTATCGGAGGCTTGGAAATGAGCACCAACACCAAAACAAGGGGTTGCCTCCACTGGGGCAAGATGGTCCTAGATTTTGGTGTTGGTGGCAATCTTTCAGCCGCCCAGGAAGCCCGAATCTTACCACCATCACCGCGATCGGGATCATGCACCCTCGGTGGAGGCATACCGCCGATATTGGTGTTGGTGACAATTTCGAGGCCTCCGAAGCTAGCGCCTCAGCACCGCGTACTTTCGTCGTTACATATTGTAGCAGCTGCATGGGTGAAGGCAGCTCCTTTCCAGACTGTAAGTCTCTCTCCTCTGAGACGCGCACCTTCGTCGTGAAGACTTGCAACAAGTACATGGATGAAGGATCGTGATTCTCGCCTCAACGCCGCACCAATGCGTCCTACAAACGTGCCACTGCTGCACTGATGAAGGCTGGTAGATGAGCCGGCTTCCCCTCTCCTCATCGCCACAGCAAGATGTAAACCGCGCACCAGCTACAAGGGAGGAGGGCAGCTCCTTTCAAGAAGGGCTCTTGCTTGAGACGTCCTCACTCCTTACAGCTTGACATTCCAGCATGTGTAACGCATACACGGACGGCGGGTGGCTCCCTTCCAACATGGGGATATCGCCTGACAACTGTCCGGGGTCTGTGGCGAGTCGGATCCAACAAGCGGTCGGGCTAGCGGCGGGCGAGTAAGTAGCCAAGCACGGCGGAAGCAGAGGAGGGGCACGACGGAGGGAGGAGGCGGCCGCGGAACGGCCACAGAGCTCTCAGGCCATGAAGGTCTTCACGCGACAAACCGCAGGCCTGGCTCACGAACTCGTCACGACGGCGTAGCAGAAGAGCCCGAAAGTCAAGGTCCAGGGCAAAGCCGCAAAGTCGGGGCTCGAGCAGGAGATCGACTACAGAATTGATGTACCCCAATATCGAAATTACACTGTTGGGGAAAATCACTTCTGTGGTCGATCTACGACTCGAAGGGTAGAGTGTGAGTCGTGCACAGGTCAGCACCGCTGACGGCAAGGTATCGCTCGACACACAAGACGAGGGCGCGGCTCTCCAAGACAACCAAGATGGCCCCCAAATTTGCTCAAGATGGTCCAAGATGGCCTCCTAGACAGCCCAAGAGGGTCAAAGATGCCTCCGAGTCAGGCCGGGAAGCCTCCAAGACGGCCCCAGGCGGCCCAAGAGGCCCCCAAGAGGCCTCCCAGACGGCCCAAGAGGTCTCCAAGGAGTCCTCCATGAGAGCCCGAAGCCAAAATCATTGTCTTTGCTCGGCCCAAGACGGCCCGAGAGGTTCACAAGATTGCACCAAGATCGCCCAAGAGGTCTCAAAGATGGCCCCAGGACGGCCCAAGAGGCTCCCAAGACAGCCCCCAACGGGCCCCAAGACGGCCCAAGAGGCCTCCAAGACGCCCATCATGGCCTCCAAGACGGCCCTGAAACACCCCAAGAGGGCCCCAAGAGACCCCCAAGACGCCTTCCGACGGCGCCTTGGGGGCCAGCAACGCCCTACGACGGCCCAAGAGGCTCCCAAGAAGCCCCCAAAGGCCCCCAAGAGGCCCAAGGAGGCCCCCAAGAGGCCTCCAAGAGGCCCCCAGGAAGCTCACAGGAGGCCCCAAGAGTGCCCCGAGCGGCTCCCAAGAGGCCTCCTCCTCCTTCTCCTCATCCTCATCCTCCTCCTCCTCCTCCTCCCTTTCCCCGCAACGGCTGGGGAAACGCATGGTTCAGTAGCGTGCCCAAAAATTTCGCCACGTAGGCGTATCCGAAAAGGCAGGGGGCGGCGGTGATTCGCCGCAGGCGTCTTCGATTATATAGTAAGGAAGGAGAAGGAGGCAGGGGCAGAGACAGAGGCAGAGAAAGAGACAGAGGCAGAGACAGAAACGGAGCACGAGACATAGAAAGAGACGGAGAAAGAGAAAAAGAAGGGGAGAGAGAGAGAGAGAGAGGAAGAGGAAGAGAAAGAGAAAGGGAGAGAGAGAGAGAGAGAAAGGGAGAGAGAGAGAGAGAGAGAGTGAGCGCGAGCGCGGCGGCGCCGTCCTCCCAGAGGCCCTCGTCTTCCCTGCGCAGCGGGCAGCACCAGGGCCGGCGAAACGGAGCGGGCACCAGAGGGAGAGGGGGGAGCGAGGAGGAGGCAAGGGGGGAGGGAGGAGGAGGAGGAGGAGGAGGAGGAGGAGGAGGAGGAGGAGGAGGGAGGAGGAGGAGGAGGAGGAGGAGGAGGAGGAGCAGCAGGAGGAGGAGCCGCAGGAGGAGGAGCACCCGTCGAGGAGCGAGCGTGCCTACAGGCGCGGCCGTTCAGACTTTGGTCGGGTGCGCGCCAGCGGCGGCAGCTTCACGCGCTGGGCCGTCATGCTGAAAAGCGCCAACGCGGTGGCTGGGGAGGCCACTCGCCCTTCAGAGGTGGTGCTGGCGGAGGTTGTTGAGGAGAACACGTATCGTGTTGGGAGGAAGTGGTTGGGAGGATGAAGGGCATAAGCAATAGCATCCGGATGCAATGAACGACACCTTCGGCCGCCCACGGGTAAGGATATCCTCATTCTCCCAACCCCATCCTCCCAACCCGATCACTGCCTTCCTGAACTGTGGGTCTGGCAGGGCGCAGCCAGCCGGGCCACGGTCCGTGGCAGAGCGCCGTTCGTTTCCTCGCCGTGCGCCAGGCGGTCGTGCTCCGCCGCGTCGCCGAGGCCGAGGCGGTGGGCACCACAGGACCGCGTGCCGAGGCCCCGTGGGGACGCAGAGGCTCCGCCGCGCGCCGCGGCAGCCACGCAGGCAGTGGCCGCACAGGGGTACGCACTCCCAAGGGGGTGCGGCC